GGTGGCGGTGGCTCCATAACACGCGGCACCTCCGCCGCCAGCGAGGGCGCCGCTCAGCAGCCGCTGGACTTGTCCATGGATGTGTGCAGCATGGGTGGTGTCATTGCCACCGAACCGGCTGATTATGCGACGCCCAATTGGTTTGTGCCCACGGCGGCGTATTATGATCTAAAGCCATTGAATCTGTCGCCGGCGCAGCCGGTGCGCGTGGTGCCTACGCCGCCAGCATCGCCCAATCTGTGCATCATACAGGAGGAGAACGGCAACGGTCAGATGTGTCATACGATCAGCACGGGCACGCCCTATGCGGGCTGCACGGGCGGCATAACGCCGCAGATATGCCTCACCGATGTCCAGGGCAGCGAGATTACACTGGTGGCCCTCTCGTCGGATAATAGCCGCGACAGCGAGGACTCGCTGGAGCCACATACGCCCATTATGTCGCTGCAGGTGAGCATCAACTCTTTGGCTGTGCTGTGATCATGATCTAATCCTTGATTCCACTGTACCCCGCCAGGGTCTCATCATCACGGAGGCCAGCAGCGATATGCCTTCCATAACGCGCGGCATTGGACGCAAGGCCAGCCTGGACTGTGAGCCCGGCTCCAATCATGCTGCACCCAATTGCCATGCCCAAGCTCAGGCCACCGCAAATGTGGAGGCGCATAGGCGTGGCAGCGATAAGTCGCTGGGCTTCTCGGACGATTCGCTGAGCAACGACTCGAATAATTTGTCGCCCTCCTGCCAGGAGCCATCGGCCAGCTCGGGCTTCAAGTCCGATTCACATTCCGAAATTGGCGATCACACCGAATGCGGCCACCTGACGCCCGACTCCATGTGCGATTCGCGTCGCATGTCCGATGAGATGTGCTACGAGGTGCCGCTGCCGCACGAATGCTCCAACCTGGACTCGACGCGCATACTCGAGATGGTCAAGCAGACCATCGACTCGACAATGCCGCCCAAGGGCTTTGTGCTGCACAAGGGCAGCATCAGCTCCGAGGACAGTGGCGCCGAGTCGCGTCACAGCAGCGCCTCCAATGCGTCCAGCGACGCGACACCGCATGCCACACCCAGCGCCAGCGCGTGCAGCAATGCGCCTGCCTGCAGCGCGTCCAGCTATGGCGAGCCCACCACGAATTTGAGTCTCGAGTATTCGGGCGGGCTGCAGATTGAGCTGCAGGTGTGCGAGGGACGCAGTCGGGACCATCATGGCGCCGGCAAGGGCATCAAATTGCGGCGCATCTCGGGGGATCAGTTTGAGTATGGCAAAATATGCCAACAGCTGATTAGTACCATAACCATGCAACAGGTGGCGGGCTAAGACAGCAGGACTGTCCAGAAAAACAAAAACCCCCTACTAATATATGTGTACGTGTATGTGCATGTGTGTCTGTGTTTGTATGTGTATGTGTATCTGTGTGTCCTTTAGTTTTAGACAAACCAAACAAAAATGACTCGCCTTGCCTATAAACTCTGCGTAGCTGTGATTTAAGCCGATATGTACGATATAAGTACATACATATATATATATGTAAAATGTGAACGTATCTATGTGCAACTGCATGTATGCATCTGTGTGTGTGCGTGTTAAATACAATACAAACAAAATCAAACAGGCGTACGAATACTTTTAAGAAATTCAAAAGAAAAGAACAACAAACTATGTTCGATTAGTTTTTGTTATAAAACAATTCATATGCTATTATTGTAAGAGTTGAATATTATTTTTTTTAGTCCTGTTCAAATTCCTCAAATTAGTAACTTTAATCAAAATTTTATTAATATTTACTATATATGGAACTAAATAGCTATAGTTGTGTATTTAACCGGCGAGCATTTTCAAATTTATATAGCTGCGATTTTAGCTATGATAAAGCACATCAGGCTTAAAGCAACGATCTAGATATATATGCACACACACACACACACACAGCCAAACTGACAGATATGTTTTATCTAAAATGTATCCAGAAAACTTAAACTCCCTTTTTTTTTTTCTGTGGAACAACTTAAACGAAAACAAGTTAAATGCATTCCAGTAGCTAAAATTTTTCATACATTTTCGGATATACATATATATAAAGATATATCTAATATGTAGTATCTAGTTAAGCCTAATATCTTTTTAAATTCTGTGCAATCCGATACGACAAATGTGTATAGCGCTCACGATTTGGCACGATTTCGATTTCAAACACTTTATTCTATATATATGCTAATAGTATGACGATTAAAGTAATTTCTGTAGTTAGTTAGTTACAGTTTTTGCTCCGATATTATGTGTAAGCTCTTGATTCCGTTAAATTTAAAAAAAAAGAAGGTTTTTCTATTTAGTAAAACTTTGTTCGTTTGTTAATGGTTAGTAATGGCGCCTTCGATATGCGTTCAAATTGATTAAACACAAATTGAGAAATCTATTATTAAAAGACTGCTGTGATTTTAAATATAATTAAATATTTAGTTCAGAAACAAGAAAAACAAACAAAACATTAAAAAAAAAATAAACAAGAAAACAAACAAATAAACAACAAGAACTTAGTTATACATATGATTATATAATAATTAATTCAACTTTATCTTAAATAAATTACCAATTCTCCAAACAATATGCTAACATAAGGTGATCACATTTATATTTACTAAATGAAGTTTAAGTTTAATTTACGCGCCAAAACTATTGCTGCGCCACCTGTTGGGAAAAATATGAAGTGTGTTTAACAGAGCTATGCCTTACAGCAATTATCGATAACAGTCTCCCACACACAAATGTTGCCGTCGATTGATTATCGATAGCCTTGCATGCAAAAGAAGAAGCAGCAGAATGTTTTGATGCGCTATTTTAATTTGTGCGATTTTTGTGTTTATTGCTGACGCATTAAATGGAATAATTAACGCAACCATGATTTGCCGTCTGTGCCTAAACAGCGCAAGCGACACCATTCAAATATTTGATGGCGTCGGCTTGTCCCTGAACGTAGCCACAGTGCTGGCCAAGTATTTTTGGTTTCAGGTATGTGTATTTGTGTTTTTATACCTATTCCCAATTGCAACTGTACAGAAAGTACATTGTTGCAGCCGAAAAGCGATGATCCCATATCGACGGACATTTGTGTGGGCTGCTGGACGCGTGTCAGCGACTTTAACGAGTTCTATGCCAGCGTGGAGAAGGCGCATCGTCTGCTCACCGAGAGATTCTCTATCAAAGGCGGCGAACAGCCGGAGCGGGTTACCACAAGCAGCAGCAGTTCAGTAGTAGGCGAGCAGAAGCAGGAAAAGCAAGAGGACACAAAGGACTTTCCTCTGCACAGCGAATGCGACGCCGAGGAAGACTTGGCTCAAGAGAACGACCATGCTGTGGAGGCAATGTACGCCAGCGGCAGCGAGAGCGATGCAGCTGCATCATTCAGCAACGAGCAGTTCCTCAACGATGTGCTGGCCCAGCAGCAAGATGCTGATGTACACACGAAAGACTCGCCCGATGAGCCGGACCAAACCGCGGCACCACAGGCTATGCAAGAGCGTCGTGAAACGCGCTCAACGCGCGCCAAAAGCAAAGCCCAACAAGCTGCTGCAGCTGAGCAGCCTGTGCCAGCCAAGCGACGAGGTAGGTCGAAGCCCGAGAAAATCAACCGAAGCGCCGAGGAATTGCCAAAGAACAAACGCTATGCAGATTACAAGAAATCCATGCTGGAGATCGATGAGAAGATAGCGCAACATATGCGGCTCACCTGCAGCATTTGCCACGAGGGACAGGAGACGTTTCTACTACTCTGCAAGCACATGATGCAGGTGCACCATCGCAAGGGCTATGCGGTGTGCTGCAACAAGAAGTTCTACAAACGTTCCTTTCTCACAGATCACATTGATCGCCACTCGAATCCCGAGAAATTTAAGTGAGTGGTAAAGTGCGGGCTTTAAGCATCAACTGCTCCAAATTCATTGCCAGAACGTATAATACTAATGATTGACTTGTTCTTTAGGTGCGAGCTCTGCGACAGAACCTTTGCGGACAAACAGTGTCTGCGCAATCATGAGCTGCTCAAGCATCAGCCGGACGAGCAGAAGAAGTTCATGTGCGAGCATTGTCCCAAGCGCTATACAAAGCAGTATTTATTGGATCAGCATAGAATAATACACAAGGAGCGCAACGTGCCTTGCGATATATGCGAGCGGCGGTGAGCGAATGTGATGTAGCTGCGTTTCTACCAGCTCCCGGTTGTCTGTATAAGGTCCAATTATAAACTGATCTATTTGCCTCGTTTCAGATTTCCCAACGTTTCAATGCTCTGCACGCACGTCAAGATGGTGCACGGTAACTATGGCACCATGTGCGACATATGCGCCCAGGTGATACGAGGACGCGCTGCCTTTCAGCGCCATCAGCTGGAGCATGCTGGCATTACGGAGCCCAAGGTGCAGTGCGACATATGCGGCTCGTGGCACAAGAACAAATATAGTCTAAAGAAGCATGTGCGACGGCACAACGGCTCCTCCGAGGAGTGCACCTGCAGCATATGCGGCAAGGTGTCGCCCAATCGCAGCGCGATGCTCAGCCACCAGCGCTATGTACACAATGCGGATCGGGTCCATGGCTGCAGTGTGTGCAATAAGAAGTTCAAAAAAGCCATCAATCTCAAAGAGCACATGGCCACGCACACAGGCGAGGTGCTCTACAAGTGTCCGCACTGTCCGAAGACCTTCAATTCGAATGCCAACAAGCATTCGCATCGAAAAAAGTGCCATCCCAAGGAGTTTGAGGAGGCGCGCAAGGCCCGCATGCAAAATCGCATGGGCGACAACACAAGCCCAAGCAAATCTCAAACGAGCCTGATAACCATTACCACGGGCGAGACAGACGGCGAGCTGGAGACGCACAATATACTCGTAACCACGACGGCAGAGCACAGCGATGGTGATTTCAAGGGCGAGGACATTGAGTTCATGCTCACACTCAGTCCACAGCCGGCGGAATAGACAATCTGTTTACTATTTATATATATGGTATATAATATTTAGTGTATTTGTATATTAAGTAAAATCCTTAGGCTAGCAGCAAGTAACAAAATTAAATAGACACAGATTAAGGCCAGGCTTCGGACCAGGAATGTTGCACAGAGATATTCTGTGTGGAATACTAACCACGCTCGCAAATGATTTCCACGGCATTCGGTTCCATTAGCACCGATTCCAGACAGCGATGCACCGCCGAGCCGAGTATTTCGTCCAGCAGGAAATTAACCAGGCTGTAAAGTTAATGTTAAATGTTAAGTTTAAACATTGGAGTCTTCTCTTCGCAGAGATGATACACTTACTTTTCATCGCTGACAAAGCGCCAGAGATTCATTTGCAGATAGTGCGCGTCCACCTGAATCTGCTGCAGTCCAAACTTGCTGAAGGTGCGCAGACGCACGCACTCCAGCAGCGTCTGCGAGAGAATCAATTAGAGACTGAGGCAATCAACTGAGCTGAGAAGCACCCACCTTGAGTCCAATTTTAATGATGCCCATGACAATGGATGCCTTGCTAAACTCCACAGAGGTGAATATGTCCACGCGCTCCGAGAATAAGCGATGTATGTTGGACACATAGCTGGACTCCAGCTGCGAGGGCGTATAGTTGGACCAATTGGAGCGATACTGCGGCTTGGAGGCATTGAAATTGCTGAAGTAGGTTTTGCGACTGGAATCGCTGCTGGCCGTGGTGCGAAATCCGGGATTGCCGGCGCTCTCATAGAGACTAGCCACCACAGTCTCAATGCTGCCCAGCTCCTCCACGACGCGCTTCATCACCGCCCGCACCGAGCGAGGCTCCAGGCAGTTGAGCCAGTCGCGCGTCTCGACGCTCTTGCGCAGCATTTGGGATATGTTTGTGCCCTGCAGCCGCACATAGGCGTCCAGCAGCGACTGTGCTGTCTCGCGCATCTCTGCGCAGATTTCCGTTTCGTGTGTGAGCGTGGCGCTGTTCTCCGACTCAATCTCGTAGAGATCATCGACGAGCGCAATCTGCAAGTCAGGCGTATGTAATTACTATAAATTATAAAGTTCTCAATCAGATGATTTACCAGTATATGCACACCCTGCTGTTCCAGTTCGAGGCATGTCTTGGAGAGCACCAGCAGCAAATTGGGTGGACTGGAGCTGGAGGCATCTGCAAAGCCGCACATTACCTTGGAGATGTGACGCAAAAAGCCAATCAACAGATTCTCCCTAATCCCCTCCACGCACAGAGCGCCCTTGTGCTCGGCTTTGATGTTGAAGGACCAATCGGTGCGCAGAAATATCATTAGATCCTGGAGCACGCCCTTTATCTTCTCAACCATGGCCACATACAGATTGCTGATCAGATCATTGAGATTCACGCCCGCAGCCAGATCGCTCTTGGCCGACACCAGCGACAGACGCACTGCGCTCAGGCTATCAGCAAAGTGATCCCTCAGGCTCTTGCCATGCGCATCGCAGAGCTGATGGGCGGCCGCAATGATGATGTCCAGCGTGTTGCGTTGCACCTGAAGGCCGCGACAGATGTTGCGCATGGCCTGCAGCCGGCGATGCAGGCGATCCAAGGCGCGCAGCATGACCTGCGTATCGCCATAACCAATATCCGATTCGACGCGATCCTGCACCAGCGTCAGATACTTGTCTATGTTCTCATTGAGAAAGAGGTTTAGCTCGTTCAGAGCATTCTCCTGGAAGTCGTCGCTGTAAACACATGGAGAGAGTAATTAGCAATGTGCCTTTAGAAAGTGACCAACTCACCGTTCGTGCTCGTAATGCTTGGCCACAAACATATCGAAATATGAGGTGACCACCAGCGCCAGATCGTTGAGGAAACCATCGATGCCCATGTCGACAAACTCCAGCATATCGCGTTCTGTCTGATCCTGCAGCATGACAATTTGTTCGTGCAGACGCTTGGCAGCACACCGTAACATCTCGCTGGCCAAATCCGAGGTCTTCTCGTCCAGCTGCAGCAGCAGCTCTCCTATTTCGGTCAGCGATTGGGCTGTATTGCCCGCTCGCTGAAAGTCCTGTCGCAGACGCTCCTTCAACTCAGCCATTATCGCATCGCAGTCACGCTGAATGCCATCAAAGGATGGCTGCCTGCCGTACTGCGCGAACACCTTCTGGGCGTGCAGATAATCCTGCACAGCCTGCGCATAGTTTTGCTCCTCTATCAGCGACTTGAGCTTGGCTGGCAACGTGGACAGAAACTGCAGGCGCTTGAGAAGCGAGTGCTTCTCCGAGAGACGACACAGCTGGGAGCGTGTGCCTTGGAGTGTGCCCGTAATCTGTTCGCTGAACGTCGTGATGGACTGCATCTTGGTCATCAGCAGGTTCACATCCGTCTCCATCTGCTTGAAGTCATCCTTCATCTTGCGTATGGTGTCCGTTGCCGAGATGAATTTGTTGTAGTTCTCGTAGACGAGCGTTTGCATGTCCGAGTGCAGCGTTTGGGTATCCTTTACGACGGCCGCCTCCGTGTCCATGATTTGCTTCAATGAGCAATCCTTCAGCAGCTTCTCTAGATATCTGTCTGCATCAAAGCTGGAGCTGTCCATATCAAACGGATTGTCCTTTTCGTCCATTGGGTATGTTGTTTTTGCCGTTACTTTGTTCATTAAGTGCTTATTTACAAACTATTATTCACTTAGTTTGTGTGTCTGAAAACAAAAACATATGTTTCTGTTAAATGCATACCAAAAATGTTGCCTAGCTGTTATTAACAGCTGTTAAATGCTTCACACAGCTAACATCGATAACAGGGTCGTAGTCGTTAACAATCGATAACATACTCGTAGTCGTGTTACAGCTGTCTGAGCAGATTGTACGTTCGCTTCATTTGCTGAAAGTTGTGTAATTTGTACAAGCAATTGGATAACAATTTATGTGTTGGCAATGTTCGCTGTTTGTTTGTCTGTTATTTACTGTTGTCTGGCATTTTACATTTGAGCGCGCAACTCAAATTGTGGATTCTATGTTTTCATGTGGTCACTATATCCCCAGCATATCGACCGACCGCCACAAAAGTTAAGCAGCGCGCTATCAACGACAATTTGAAAGCTGAATAACACAAATGTGATTTGAATTGCGTTTGCTTATTATTGAAATATCAACGGAGACAAGGTCTGTATACAAATATATTTGTTTTAAGCTCGAATTGAAGCAAGTGCTCAAAAATACTGATAACTTAAATAGGTTAAATATGCACAGCTGTTGATTTGAACTATTAAAGTAAATCATCTTTTAGCTGATAACGCGAAAGCAATAAACCCATATATATATTATATTATATATTATATAGGTGCTTGCTTTTAGAATTCTGAGCTGATCTTTTACGCAGCCCAGTAGCAAAAAAAAACACCAACATTCGAAAAAAATACTCTCAATGGAACGCATTGTCCAGATTTTAGTGCTTGCAGCTTGGACGCTGACTGCGTCTGTTTGCAACGTTGCAGCAGGTAATTCGACTGCTTTTTGAACTGGTAAATTTCACAATAATTTTTAATACATTTGCTGTGCAGATTGCGTAACAGATCCCGAGTCGATGCTGTGCGTCTTGGACCCAAATCGAGGCTAAGAACAAATATGTTGCAATACTTACTTATGCCCGAAGTGTTTATGAATAAATAATTCAACAATGTGGCCCCAATGTGCTAATCATAGCTAAATGGGCGGGAAGCACACCCACGTCTAAGCAAAGTTCGAGTTTTTTGTTTTGAGCTGTCTGCCCAATCCAGTAGCTTGTCTACGTGTGGTAAATCGCATTATGCGCCCACGCGACGGCCACGAACACACCCACAGACACGGACTGAGACAGAGATGGAGCTGGAGACAGCGGCTCCTGGCGTTCGGGCATCATGTCATGCGATTGTCCGGCCACTTGTAGGCAGACACTGGCCACAGTTGCTGTTGTTGCCGTGCGGCTGGCGGGCATGTCGAGATGCATGAATAAACATGGACAAGTTTTTCACTTTGGGTCTGCCACAAAATTGGCAGAAGAGCGACGATAAAGTCGAGGCAGATACGGCAAAAGTAAAAGTAAAAGTTTCTCTGTATCTCTGTATCTCGCATCTGCTGCGGCATTGCCTCATTTCAAATACATTAACATTTTGACCTTTGGCAAAGTTTGGCCAGCTCCTCGAATTTAATTTCAAATTGTCAAATTGTGTGCGGATTGTGTAAATCACGTGGCGCCCGCTTCGCACCCTCGGCTCCACCTGTCCCAAAGACGCGAAAGTGCATTGCCTAGCTGCAGGCTGCACACACACATACACACACACACACACGCACACACAAGCATAGAGAATTGCACAAGGTTTTCATTCATCAAACAGAAAATTGAATTTACATAAGCCAAGCCAATGTCAAAAAAGCGCCCAAAACGTCAAGCGGCAATTGCCAGGGGTTGTGAGGGGGGGGGGGGGGGCGGAGTGACAAGCGCAAAGCTTGGAACATCGAACGTGTCAAGGTCAAGTTACAGTTACATCCATTTTCGACTTTTGTCTTCCCACAGCCGCCTGCCACACGCGTCCCTTCCCCCCTGCCAACCTCCCAAAAAATGAACCCAACTTAATGTGCGCGCAACAGGAACAACTTTTCATGTGTATTTTTTGGCTATGTGTGTGTGTGTGTGTGGCGGATGTGTGTGTGTGTGTGCGCGTTGTTAAAGTGCGCCAAGTCGTTAAATGAATTTCAGTGCTGCATTGAGCACACTTAGAGCGGAGCCAAGTGGATGAGCACTGCGAACATTTTAGTCAAGCGAGGGCTGCTTCACAAGTTCTGAAATGTGACGTGAAGCGATTCGAACAATATTTTGATTAGTACTTCAACTTTCGACACACGGTAAACCGTGGCCTCTATATAAACTTTAAATAATATCTAAAAAGAACATTTTTAAATAAATTAAATTCCAGACCTCGTGCAAACCAATTAAATATTTAAAATCAGAAAAAAATGTAAAAATATTAGGGAAAAAAAAAAGTTTAACTAAGAACATGCGAAAAGAATAGATAAAGCTACGAACAGAAACCTTAAACACCGATGCGAGCCTTCAGTGCATAAGAAAGCGAAGGTGACATAGATAATACGAGTTGGTCAACTTTTGTAGCCGCCCTCGTTGCGTTTCATTTTAATGGATTATATACAGAGAATTGGACGCTTGACGGGGATTACTGCCAAGTGGCGCAGTCAAGTGAGGCCGTCTTCCTGCATGGACAGCAAATGAAAGCCAAACAAGTTGACGGGCATGACATAACTGTAAATTACACTGCGCAACATAGCACAGCTGGGCATACACTGTTGAGGGCGACTTAAAGCTGCAACCGAATGTGGCAAGTGCGAACAGCTTTATCAGCTGCAAATGCAAAATGCAATGCGTTTACCTTGGCCAAATCTTGGTCATAAATTCTGCAGGCAAAGTGCTTCCGCCACCTGACGCCAGGCGGCGCTTTAATAACCGTAAACCATGGCCGATGGCAGGTGTTGCTTGCTAGAGGTATTAGTGGGTGGGTGCTAACAATGCAAATGCAGCGCAATTTCGGCGCAGCATCCTTTAAGGCAACCAAAAGGCTCGTAACTGTGTCGCAGACCCTTTGCAGCTGATAGGAATAGACAGCGGCAGGCTGAAGAGGGGTGTGTACGGGGCAAGGGGTGGGTTAGTGGGTGGGTCGCTACACATTGTTGTAAATTCAGTGGCAGCAACTTTTCTTATTTTTGTAGTGGGCGTCGCTTTCTCTGACGTTGTCAATTTTTTATTGCCCTTTGGCTGTGACGTGGGCGTGGCAGCCAGAGAGGCGGCAAACGCTTTTAAGGTTAGCGGGTCACGTGCTCTTCAAGCGTGACAAGCTGTATACACACCCACACACTCACACACACACGCACACTCATATATACATATACATATATATATGGAATTATTTCTTCGCATTCCTCAGCCAGTTCTGGGTAAATCAGAGCCGCATCTTTGCAGCCAGCCAATTGAATTCAAATGAAGCCATGCGGCCGTGACACGACATCCCAAATGCGTTGCCATAAATCAGGCATCAAAATTGACAATGTTGCCCCCGAGAGTCAGCTGAAAGGGTGAGGGGCGTGCCAAGACGCCGCGCACTAAATTCAATTCCGCTGGCCCAGGAGAGCTTCAGCTATAGCGTCTGCTTCGCGTGCCGTGTGCATCGATCACGCATGGAATATTCAAGTGACAATCTTGTGCCAGCAGCAGCCCCTGGCAACCTCTGACCCCCGGGCGGCACGTAGCGGCACTCGCTGCAAATGCAAAACAAACAGCCAAATGCCAAACTGACAAGCTGATTGCGTAATCTCTAAACTGCTGCGGCAGCTTCTAAAAAAAAAAAACCTGTGTTACCTGACAGCTGCGGGGGCAAGGCATTGGTTAGAGCTACAAGCAATAAATACATATATATATATATATATACACTGTTACAAATATTGTCGTGTTGCAAACAAAAACAAAAGTTCTAACAGCTTTTAAATTTAGCTTAATCTTCAGACAAGGACGAGCAGCTGCTCTTCGAGCATTTAATGCACAATTATGTTACTCTCTATAAATAAATATTCAGTTTAAATAGATTTAATTATATTACACAGCCGAATACCTTTATAGAATGTAACAAATTTGGTCAAGGATAACACTTCGACTTCATAAACTATATATAAATTCTATAAGGACATCAACAGCCAAGTTCATATAAAGACATGCCCGTCCGTCCGTCCGTCTGTCTGTTTCCTCCTGTAGTACATTTGTCGGCACAGACCGGATCGGAGTACCATATCATAAAGCTGCCTCAAGCATAAAAGGTCAATAATTGGGTTCTTATACGAGAAACTTTGTTTATAAGATATCAACGCTCCTCTCTGCTGCATACATTTGGATCAATATATTATATAGCTGCGGTCGAAAGTTAAGTTCTTGTACGAAAAGCTTTTTTATTTATCAAAATATTTGTCTATGCTGTTTATAAGCAAGCCAAACCTTACCAAGATCTCAATTCTGGGTTATATATTTAGCTCTGTGGAAGGCATCGCTGGAAATATGAAATATTGCCTTTTTCGCGATATTTTCACAAAAGTCGAACTTTATTATTTGCGTATATTTTTCGTTTTAATTATGTCTGCACACACATGAAAATAGCATTCAAATTGGACGCAAAGCAATTTTATATTCAATTTTCATAATAATTGTAAGCTATATAGCTCATAATATTGAGTTTAATTATAAAATCGTGTGCCAAAGGTTCTATGTTTAGCTGTAAGCCGTTGGGAATTGCATTTATAGCAACATTTTTGGCTGTGCATGAGTTGTTTAGTCTGCGGTTAGTTGTGTATTAGTCGCTAATTTGAACAGTATCTGCATTTGATTCCAATTTGCATATGGGATTAATGTTGATTCGCCTAAATACACACACACACGTGCATGCACACATGATATAAGGAGCATACATCACATAAATTCAATTAATTACAATCTGCGGTTGGCTTTGTGCCACACGCCGCACAACTAACAGCAGTCGACATTTTTAATACACTTTCGTTATTTTGGAGCAAAGCTGGGGCGCAATGAAAGGACCCTCTAACAGATACCTTAGTATATCTCAAACTTGGCATTTACGAGCCTCACTATGCTCCACATAATAAGAATAATACTGTATCAATATGATAACATTTGAACTGTCCAGAGTTCTATTTCCAAATATAGACACATATCGCAAAACTTGTACATATCTAGAGGGTATTGAATGTGCGGCAGCACGTGAAATGTTTATTTTTTAAATTGCCTTTAAAATTGGTCTGATCAAATTTTTATTAAATAAATTAATTTTTAATTGAACAGAAAAAATAAACATGCTATAAATTCAAAAAAAGCATTAGAGCGATAAAAATAAATGAATGCTTCTCTATATCTATTTTTATAGCATACTTATCAGCGCATTATTTAAATGCTCTTAATCTATTGTCTTAATATATAAATCAATTCCATTTCATTGCCAGACCCTGTCTTCGTCTTCTGCTCTGTATATTTATTTGGCAAGGTTCTACAAGACTTATTCACAATCCATATATTTATATCTGATATCTATATATATATTTAGGTATTGTAGATTGTAAGGCTCAAAAACAGCTTAGCATAGCTTATAGGTGCAAGAAGATATGCTGGGACCACAGAAATACTCGCAACAACAACAACAATAACTGTTAAACACTATTTAGTGTGTTGAATTGGTCAGTGAGATGAATGCTTTCCCGGCTGTGCAAATTCTATATTAAGGCCATGCCCCAAATTTCCACCCACGCAAAGAAAAAAGGGTTCATCCCGTGGGCTTTTGTATTTTTGGGTGACTGCTAGCAACCCTTTGGGGTCTATTCCCTAGTGTCTGTACATACATTAAATTATCGACTCAATACGAAAATAAACCAGTCAAACTCACACCAGCTCTCTGTGTGTGTGTGTGTGTTCGTGTGTGTGTTGTGCATGCTTTCTGTTTTACATTTTTCATAGCATACTTTGCTGCGCCCGAAAGCCACGACTCCATTTTGTCACATTTTATGGCAGCACTCAAAGCTGTTCGCTGAAATTTGCATGCCATACAACATACAGGAGCATACAACATGCTACAAAGGGAGGAGGGCGTTGGTGAGGGAGCTGAGTGTAAAAGGGTTTTTTTACCATTGCATTTGTCGCACGACTGTTGACCTTTTAGCATACAGCTTTTAGTTGCTGCTAATGTTATTATGAACCGCAGCAGCTCAGCAAAATATGCAAACATATAGGCACACACACTCGCACACACACACACTCGCACACACATGCGACATTTGGCATACGGCGCATTGTCAGCAGGGTTTGGTTGGAATCTGCCCCGACCGCAAAGCGTCGCTTGAAATCAACAGTTTACCTTGATGTGGTGGGCGCTACGTGAGCCACGCACACACTCACACACACACACACACAGCGTCGCTGTGGGTATTGCCAGACAGATAGACAGTGGCGCATGCACAACAGCAATTACTCATGGCAATGGATGGGGCGGGGGGCGGGGGGGTCAACAATATGAGTTACGGCCAGCATATCCGTTGCTGTAGACACCACCCCCACCACCATCCGCTCCACCCAATCCGACCATTGTTGTGTGCTTCGTGTGTTAGCAGGCTGCATTTGTTTATTTGCTTATCATGCACTTCGTTTGCCCAAAATCAAAGCCTTTGTTTACCGTATTTTGGCAAAACTCTGGCAACGCTGCACGATTTGCATCTGTTTGGTGCGGCTTGTACATTTACTAATTGGCAGCCCTGTGTCCCAAACAGTGCTGCAGTTTTTTTCTGTTTAATACAAAACTTTTCGCAAAAGACAAAAATTGGATGCAAATCAGCATGCAGCCAGCAGCTGTCTGCAGTATTGCGGTATCCTTGAGACCGCAGGGCAATCAGCATACATGATTTAACATGATTCAAGGAAATGTAAAACGCCAGCACACACACACATACACACACGAGCGCACTCAAAGCAACACACACCTGCAACAGCAACATTTCTAGCATATGCAAAGTGCAACTGGGCTCCCAAAATGTGCTAGCATAAGTAGAAGCAAAAACAGAATAAGCAGGCACCAGTCAGCCACAACATAAGCATACAGGCGCCTGGGGAACCAACTGCGGCATATTTTGCGCCAATTTCCATGCCGATCGCTGGCTAAGTAAATGGTAAGGCAGTTGGCATGGTTCTCAGTGCTCAACCTAACCTCACAGAAATTCGACTTTGCTGCGATGAATGGAAATGCAATGCAAAACAAGCACAGCGCCAGAAAGCAAAACAAAAGCAACGAGCAACAGACACGGGCAGAGCCAGCAGGCAGCAGGGAAACAACAACACTATGGCCTGCGAGCTGAAAGAAAATTAAAAAGTAAACACAAAAGTTCACGTGCTCCGCATTCGGCAGCAGCAGCAGCAGCAGCGGCAGCAGCAGCGGCAGCGGCAGCGAAGCATAAGTTGTTGGCATTGGTGGCAGCGGCAGAGGGCAGCAGCCAAAGAAGACATTAAGAAGCTGCGCATTGAGCGAATATCAGAGAGCGCATGAGCCAAAAAACAAAAGCAAAAGAGAGTGAGGGAGAGAGCGCCGCAATTCAAATATATGTGTGCTTGCATCGGAATCTCTCTCCAGCGATTTGTTTACAGTTATAATTGTATGGAATACAATGAATAAGTCATAGCCGACTGACGAATAAAATTAAATACATAAAAAGTAGAAAAGTTAAATTCGTTAAATAATAAACTCATTACATTATGAAAGCACCTGCAATTTAAAAAACAATCGCCATTTCGCTAATCGAATTATATGCAACATGTCACAATAAAACTGATATCAACCTTAATTGACGCATAGCTAAAGAAGTTTCGGAATATATTTTTTAAGTAAAAGAATTCATATTTCTTTAAAATGTTGATTGTCAGGTACGTGCGATGTCGTCATGGCTTATCATATATACCTCTCTCTCTTTAACGCACACACCTGCCTGCAAGGATTTACTTTGCAGTGAGACTGAATCTTAGACCTCATCTACTCTGCCTCTCTTCTCCGGCCCCAACAAGCCACGTGCGTATTATTTATGCGTAGACATTTTGGCGCCGCTTGCTCAGCTCCGATACTCCGCGAAAAAACAGAGAGCGCACGCAAAAGCAAAGCAAACCCAATTGCAAAGTCACAGACTCAGAGAGTGTGCGAGGGAGATAGTGTACTATGCAAGGAAGCCAAACGTAAACATTTTTCGAAGCGCGCGCTCTCAGAAATGTGTGAAGAGTCGTGGCGAACGGACGTGCGCTGCGACCGTGGACCGCATCGAGTAAACTATATTATTATCCACCTGCTACATACACTCTCACACACAGACGCACACGTTGAACGTTAAGCAAGCGCGCGCAAAACTGGAATGAAAAGCAATCAAAACGAAATGAAAAACGCGCAACAAAAGTTCCACGAGAAATTGCGTTAAGAAATGCAAACAAAAAAAATATTTTAATTAAGGCAATAACAACAAATTAAAGTTAAGTGAAAAATCAATGCGCTACCAAAAGTTGAATAACGAAAACTGACGACGCACAGATACACACACGCACACACAGTAACAGTAAACGAAACTGGCTGCAGCCACGCACAGGTGTGCTTACACACGCTCAAACACACAGACACAGCAGTGCACACATACACGCACAGGCAGACGAGGCGAAAGCCTAACAAAGTGAAAGTAACGAAATTAGCAACACAATGGGAAAACAAACAGTGAAAACAAGCGCATAAAAAATGCACACGAGCGGGTTAAGTGTATAGAAAGGAAAAGAAAGCGTAAAGCCAATGACAGAAACGGTGAAAGTGTAATCAATTTAAGCTCGCATACTTTCGGGCTCAACTCTAGCCACCAGCCTTAGGCAGCAACAAACAATTTGCGCCCACTGTAATAGTGACCGTTGCAGTTCCCGTTACTGAGCGTCTAAATGAGATAAAGAAAAACAAAAACTGCCTTTTAAAAGCAAAGATATGCAAAAGTACAACAACATAGCAAAGTAGTTCCCGTTACTTAGAGTCTTAGCCATTGCATGCATATCTAAAAAAGAGCTGCCTTTAAAAGGCTACAACGGCACTCTGCAGAAGCAGTGCAACAACAGGAACAACAACAGGCGGTAACAGCAGCCGCATAGCAGAGAAACGTGTGCAAGATAAACACGCAAAACAAAGCGAACTGGGTCAGTGTGCGAAAGACGCGCGGGGGTAGCGACGGGCGCCAGATTAAATGGCGGCGCTTGCATGCGCATGCAAAATTGTGCTGCATACTTAATGAGCAAAGACGCAGCAGCAGAAACCGAAGCGGAACAAGGGGTAAGTTAACTGCAGGCGCAAGTTTAAGTGGCCAGCACTCACACACACACATGTGTGTGTGTGTTTGTGTGTGTGTGTGACACGCAAATCCTTGTGCACCTCAACAAAATCCGATACGCATATTTAGCCTTGAAAATTTGTACGGCAAACAAGCAAAGACGTCGGCGTCGTCGACGAGTTAACGGCGATTTGGCGGCGAAAACTAAGGCCGCGCAGCAAAGAGAAAAAGAACGGCGGCAATTTGATGAACAAAAAGAAATAGAATTAGAAGTAGCAGTATAAGTAGAAGTAGAAGAAGAAAAGAAAAGAGCAAAGGGTGTAACTGGAGTCAAAAGTAAATGGCCATCGAAATGCCGTAGGAGGAGGGCAACACAATAACAAAGCGTACACAGTAAAAATAGCAAACAAAAATAACAGTAAAATAAAATATTCTTGTGAATGTAGCTTGCTTGAAGGCGACAGCGCTGGCAGGGGCCAACACACGCCCACCGGCACGCAGCGCTCGCAATTTTTGCAGCGCTCTGCCCCGCGCCCTACTCCTGGAGCCAACTCATTTGGCGTTTCGCTTCTATCTGTGTGCTGCTGATGTGGGTCATAAATGTAACTCCATTTTTATGACCAACTTGCACACAACGCGCAGTCCGTAAGAGTAAAAGAGAGGCAGAAAAAAAATAAATGAAAGAGCTGCCAGCATAACCAAATAGCGATTTCTAAGGGTTTCTTGGGCTAGAGGGGGCTATACTGTATGTATGTATGTGTGTGTGTGTGTGTGTGTGTGTGTGTGTGCGAACGGCAAGTAAAAGCGAAAAGGCCATTTAATGGCTCGCCGGGCAGCGCCCGTTACACGTTCAGATGCGAGAGTTGCGTGTGTGTCTGTGTGCGAGGGTGACTCAAAGGCAACTCAAGCTATTAGCATATATGCGAATTTGTGAGTGTGTGTGTTGTGTATTTTATCTAATTGACTGATTGGCAAGCGTCTGACTTTTGGGGCAATGCGAGACAATCTAATATGCATAATACTATACTATACCATTTATAAAACAAATGAGTATTTATTTAATATGTAAATAGTTAAGCATTTGTGTTATTTATAGCGGACAAAAGATACAAACCCTCTTCTGCTCCTATTACTGCTGCTGCTGCTGTTGATCTGGCAACCCTCTTACGCAGCTTTCGTCAGGCATCTCTCTCTCTCACTCTCGCCACCTCTCTGCGTTTCATTTGACGTCATTATCCAACTGTTGTTTCGCCTTGCTCGTTTGCCTGCCCTGCTTGCACATTTGCCTTTTGAGTTTTTGTTTTTGTGCCATCGCCGCGGCTTGCTGCTTGACTCTGCGTGCTTAACCGTTATTATATTGCAGAGAACGAACGCATTGAATGACGACAAGTGTGCGCTCCTTTTGGCTTGCACAGTTGCATTAATATTGCGCTGTTGTTGTCGTTGCTTTACGGCTCTCTCTCTCTCTCTGCCTCTATCGCTGCATTCGTTTGAGCGCCAATTAGGCAAAACTTCGCGACAGTTTTCTGAGATTTCGGTTGGGGCTTGACAGTGTTTGTGTGTGCGTTTAATGCCTTGTGAATGTCATAACCCTCTGTCGCTCCCGCTCACTCCAACTGTCAATTGCGGCTGGCGTTGGTGTGACCTTGGTAGTAGTAGTAGTAGTGTGTGTGTGTGTGTGTGTGTGAGCAGCGCATGGAATGCAAATCCATTGAAAGCGACAGGCTGCAGTTCAAGGCTACTTTTACGTTACGCAAGCGCTGCACACACACGGGCTTCATTTTTTTTGTTTGTTTATGTGCATATCCTTGAGCGTCGTCCATGTTGCATGCGTTGCGTTGACATTTTGCAACACACACCCCCTACACACACATACATGTAAACGCGTACAGCTGGCGCTGACAGCTGCTTGCTTTGCCCCTTTCGGTTTTGGCTTATGCAATCGCAGGCGTCAGCTTTATTTTTTTAATTAGCCAAACACAAAGAAGCCGCAGTCGCATCCGTGTCCTGTTTTAACGTTATGCAACTGTCTCTGACCTTTGCCATCGGCTGCAACTATGTGTGTGTGTGCGTGTTATTGCCTCATAGACGCACACACACACACACAGCTTGCGCTGCCGTGACTCTAGGTCTTTGTCTTTGCCTCAATGTCGCTGCATATTTGAGTAGGTTTGTTTAATCGAAGCGTGCCTATTGCACACGTGTGTGTGGGCGTGGCATGTGTGCCTGTCTGCCATGAATATGACATAAGTCGGATCACATTAATGTAGACACACACACACACACGGACACATCCGTCATGGGGAATGGGCCACGCAGTAATTTGCCTAGTTGATTACTGATAGAGACGACGCCCATAACTCCCACTCACATTTCATTTCAATTTGCAACACATTTCACTGCAATTTGTCAGCTATTAAAACTGATATTTGAAACTACAGAAATGCATAGAGAATGACAAATGTCAACTTGACAGCTGACACAAAATGCGAGACGCAGCAAATACCAATTTGCATTACAACAACGCAGCGTTTGCGAATGGATTGTAAGATGGAAAGGATAGAGCAGACGGAGTAGAGAACCAGAAATGCCGACTGGCAACTCTGGCAAAGGGCAAAAACCAGACGCAAATTAAAATGAAGTGAATACTGGAGTGAAGTTGGCTGCTCATTAAGCTGCCATTGGCTGCCAGAGTTGCCACAGCAGCAGCACTTCATCGTTGCCAAAAGGGTTTTCTTTCCGTTTTCATTTTTTTTTTTTTTCAGAAAGAGCCGCATGCATTTTAATTTGATTTCATTAAAAACTTGTGCGCCAAAAAGCTGACGAGGGGCCAGTGGAAATAACTCGCTTCAATAAGTGGCCCTAAAAACCCAGCAGCATCAAATCAGGGCAAAATAACAAGTGAACAAAAAGGATGAAACAGAACAAAAACTGCATTCGCAACGACTAATTTGGTTGTCGTTCTTGTTGTTGTTGTTTTTGTTGTTGTTGTCCTGGTCGCCATTTTGAAAACTCCAGGACGTGCCTAGTGACCTCGTCGAATTCGTTTGTTATGCGAGCTTTTGGGAAAATTAAAAAAAGTTGCTGCCATTTGTGCTTTTTGTTCACTACAAAACACTCCAGCAAAAAGGTTATGCTTATGCTAGAGCTCTGTGCGAGGTATTAAATAGTCGATCAACACTCGCTAATGATAAGTTGCTTTAACGCACGTGTAACCTTTAACTGTATTCATTTATTGTCCGCCTAAATTACAATGCAAATAAAAAATGTCTATTTATATTTGATGGACTCAAAGCTGGCGCACGCCATCTTTATTTGCATTGGAGTTATCTGTGATATTAGGCACAAATAATGTCCATAAAAAATGGTACGGCTTGTATAATCCGCTCAGAAAAATAATTATTGTGCTGATCGCTGATAGAATAATATAAATAGTACGTGATTATGCAAGAAATGCAAATAATGGGCACAGAAAATTGCACAAATCCGCAATTGAAACTCACCAAGAGCTGGAATAGAAATAAATACGTAGAAAAGGAAAACGGAAAACGACGGCAACTAAAAACAATTTGCCGTAATCAAAATGAAATCAGCAAAGCGCAAACCGCAGCGACGCTACGGAAAAAAAAAAGAAACTGGAGCAGCCGCAGCGACAAATAATATTGCGAAAGAATGGAGAGAATAAAGCAAGCTGACAAACGAACACTCTAAATAAAAAACAAATATACTAAGGAGTCACATATATAAATAAGTACAAGCATTTTTCCAATAAGACCCTAAGTAAAATTCAAGGAGCTGTCCAAGTTGACCACCCAAGAAGATAATAAATATAATCTAGTTTATGAATAATTAAACTTGAGAGCAACCCCACAGAGCTATTGTATTTTCTGGTACAAGCTCCATGGCGAAGTTCAAGAGTCCTATAATAAAGAGTATTTAAGAGGAAATGCGATAACTGTGAATGCAGTCAATGCGACTGGCAAATTCAGCAGCCGACGGGTCCACCAGCCAGGCGCAGTGCATGTAGGGAAGAGAAATAGAAAGGGGGCGGGCGGGTTGTGCACAGGTGCACGATAAGCGGGAGATAAGAGAACGGAGAGGTCATTATATATTTGTTGTCGCTGGCAAAATATTTGTGCTTTGCGCTTGATTTATGCGCATTGAGGTAGCGAATAGAGCAACGCCATGCAAACAATTCTACAAGCAGTGTTGGCGAGAGGGGGAATGGAAACGGGAACAGGTGGGGTGGAACAGGAAACTGTGCGCCCCAGGAATATGCAAATGGCCAACTGAAATTCTGCAAATAGAAGCACGGATGTTGCACTGCGGAATAGAGTGAAAGATAGGCAATAAAAACAATAAAACTGAACAAGATAGAGTTAAAGGCAACTTGTTCTATGGCTCTAACAATGTTTCAATTGCCGCAAACTGTTGCAGTTCAAACTGAAGCGCTATCAAAGGGTTCGGATGAGGGGACGCGGCACAACAATGCTGTTCGGATATTTTAAGCAAATGACAATTGTTGTCACTGGCAGGCAATGTTTGCATAGCGCGCACAAAGGACCAAACAAAAGTTGCGAGCCCCTTCACTCTTTGGGCCAAAATCGGATTGACGTAAAAAGGGTAACCCAAAAATTAACAATACAATTTAAAGCGAGCTCTCTTGCTGGCACAAAAGGATGACAGCAGGCGCTTATTTTCGGCGCTCCGGGGGGGTGTGCTGAATATGGTGTGTTGAGAAGCTTGGACACGATTTAAGGCTATGTGCTCCGAGGCGGGTTCAAAGGTTGACGCACACACTTGACAATGACAATCGTTTGTTTTGCTGTCAATTGTTGTTGTTGTTGTCCAAGCCAAGCACACACCCACACACACATGCACACACATACCCAATTTAATAAGGACTTAAAGTTGCGAATGGCAACGCAAGAAAACAAAGGTAGAAAACAAAAATGGAAAACTTTTGCCATTTGCCAGTTATGCGAAATAAAGAACGAATAAGAGTGTCTCCAAGCTAAGCTGCTCGACTATGAGATATCCTTGCATTAAACCTGACTTGACAAACTAACTTTGCAAATCGCCAATCGACGACTTATTCAAATGTTTATCTTCTGCATGTACTTTTATCGATGATGCAAATTTAGGCATGGTATAGTTGGTCTTAGTCTTAATCTATAAGGGATTCTTGGGCTCAATATGATGGGTTGCTTAAATTTCTTCTTCTGATCAAGAATATATATACTTTCCATAGTCATTTATATATTTTGTGTACACCTCTCTGAGCCATGCTAATCGGTACAGGGTATAAAAAGAAAAGTGAAAACTTTGCCGTCGCCCGCATTGTTTGTAGGTTGTTATTGCTTTGTGGGGCCACGGCCACAGCTGCCACGCCCACATTGCGTGCACAAACTCTTTGACATTGTCATAGTCTGTGCCACGTCCTCGTCCTCGTCCTCGTCCTCGTCAATCTACCCCGGCCCACCTCGAATCTGTCCTGTTCTGTTGTGGTTGTCTTTAGTCTGCCTTTTCGTCTTGGCGTGCATATTTAGGGACAACCTTTATTAAATTTTTCGCTTGCTTATAATTCAAAATGTTAGCTGTGCGTGGGCGTGGCAGCAGCTGCGTCGGTGTAGGGAGCGTAACGCCTTTTGTTCTGCTCGCTATGGCGCCCCTCGACGCCTCCCTCGATCCCCTTGGGGCGGACGTCGCCGTCATTTGGTTGGCGTATTTAGATTTTAATTTGCGATAGCAAACTTCTTAATAGGATTTCACTGTCGCTGCTTTTCGTTTGTGGCTCTTCCCTCCTAGCATAACACCTCACATACACGCACACTCGCAGACAGACAGACAGACACACACACACACACACATATTAGCAGACATGGAAAATATTTTCCACATTATTCGCATTATGCTGTCAGCACGCATGGCAACTCCTTTTCAGTCCTATTGCTGTTGCTGCTAGTTCTTCGAATTCCTTTTGATTCCTTGCAGTTGAAGGCATTTTTCCTATTGCCCACACTACGTGGAAGCCTCCCGCATCTATTGGTTAGGCATTAGTTGCTTGGGTGTGGCAAATTGGGGTGCGGCTTTTGTCTAAAAATTGTGGCAGCTCTTAAGGCTTTTAGGCCTTCTTAATTGTTTGACTTTACTTTTGTGCTGCTGTTGCTGCTGCTGTTATTGCTGGTGGTCACTCAAATCCCTAGTTCCTTTATCAATTCCCCGTGCACCCGCCTCCGTGGGCAACTGCATGGCGTCCAAGTCTCAGTGAATCTCTCTAGGGGCTTTTGAGCTGCCTTTTTTTTACACTCCAGCCATGTGTATGACTATTTTTTCAGGAAATACGTAACGCTTAAGGAACGCGTTGCGGCATTTATATAGTTTATGTATAACTGATCAGGAGCCCAAGTTAATCTAATATAGGAAAAGCTTTTTGGCGCTTTCTTCTAAACATTCTAAATAGCTCCAATGGGAATCTCCAAAAGCTTTGCTTTTAACATATCAGCACAATCGTATTAAAATCAGAGTAATATACATCTTATAGCTCCAAGAGTATTAAATATTTGGGAGACCAAGGACAACTGTTCTATCTGCTTATTTAATTTATGCTTGCTGGTTTTTGCTGAAATTGCAGAACATCATTCGTTCAGGTTATCTACATGTTCTTCTTGTTGTTCTTATTGCTAAATTATGTAATAAGCGTAATTGGCTTTGGAATGGGTGCAATGCGGAGGAGCGTACGTCTGCTTTGGCCAGCCTGGGCATTTATCAGCGCAGTCTTTTAATTTATTGTGACTGTGATAAGAGGCAAACGCTCGTAAATGACATAAATTAGATAAAAAGACAGGCTAAAGCCGGCCAAGCAGCACAAAATTTATGTTGTCTAGACCATATAGGAAGCAGACAAGTTAACTGGGCATAAAGCAAGTTAACAGGTTGGATTTAATTGACAAGCGACAGCCGACAACTGGCCAGCGCAAGCAGACTGTTTCATTTATTGACCAATGCATAATGCATATTTAAACACAACTTACCTAATTACCAACTAGCCAACAACTGACCAACTAACTAACAATGAATGGGCCCAGTTAGGCAACTTGTTAGCCATTAATTTCTAATGACAGGACCCACACGAAAAAGGCCAACATATGAAACGCTCCATCCATTTGGAGCTTAACGGTCTTAACTGCTCAACTGTGAATGCAATTAAATTTAAATGGCTATGCACTTAACTAGCCATTGAACAGAAGCAAGCAGGACAACCACTAGGATTATAACAACAACAACAACAACAGCTACTAGCATTAAGTATACGACACGTTGTAGGCCAGAGCGTCAATGTGAAACACGATAAACGTTTTAGGTTCACGATAATTCTATCATGCACTGACCTCCCCGCCTCGCCACTGCCACCGCCCCGGACCAGGCCCATATCGCTTTAAGAGCCAATGTGTGCAAAGTGCATCTCAGAGTTTTATCAACAACTTTTGCCATCAATTTTTCGAGTCGCTTTCATATTCATAATCAAAAAGACCAAACGTAGTCAGCACTCTGAGGCACACGGCAAAATTTGGCAGGTAACTCAGCATTTGCAGATGTTCTCCCTGGCTGACTCAACAACTTGGGCCACTTTACATAAATGGATGCAGGAATTGGATGAATAGCCAGTCAACTGTGGACAGCTGTGCCACTTGTCTAAGGCATGTGTACGAGTGTGCGTGCGAGTGTGTGTGTGTGTGTGGCAGCTGCATGGCATGTGAAGCATACTTTATGGCTGAGATGAGCAGTTGCTTTGCCAGCTACAACCGCTGCTAATAAAAGCCCGCGAGTGTGTCTGTGTGTGTGTGTTTACGTGTGTGTGTGTGTGAGCCATGCCCGCCCTTTGGCTGCTTGCGACGCCCCCAGTTCGAAAAGAAAAGTATGTCAAGATTTACGCGCATCGTTAAAGCAATAAACAAAGAAAAACGAAGCTGGGTGATTAAGTTAAGACATACCCTGTAAATCTATAAGGAACAGTGCTTAGTGTTTTGACCAGAAGACATTCCTGCTTTAATTATTTGTTTAGCGTTGCCAAGGTATCATTTTACTGGACATAATGGCAGCTAGCTCCTAATCCGGAGATCAAACTTATAATTTTTGATTTTGTTAAATGCATACTCCAGCTAAAATTGCCTTGTTGACGTTGATTTTGTACAGGATATATAAAACGCAACAAAGTTGGCGCCATTTATTTCTACATGTGTGTGTGTGTTAATATGCGTGTGTGTCTGTGTGTGAGTGTGAGTGTGGTGCTGTGGGTGTGCCCGCTGTGAGGACACGCAATGCCAGAAGGTTGTGACGCCGCATGGCACACACACTTCACGGCTAACAACGCGTCAGTCAAAGTCAACACACTCTTCAATTTGTTGTTGTTGTTGTTGTTTTTGTTGTCGCTGTTGCCAGCGATGCCAAGTGATGTGAATGAAAGCGGCAAGGGGAGTGGACGAGAAGCGAAAAAATGTAACACTGTCACTTTTTGACAACTGATGCGCGCACACACACAATCGCACACACACTCGCAGCACACTCGCACACACACACACGTCAATGCGTTGTAATATGTTAAAAGCGTTGCAATGCCAAACTCAGTACATTTCGCACGCCTTGCTTTTGCATATTTACATTTAAACTTTTGTCACTCAAACACAGACACACTCACACCCGCCCACGCACACATATATGGCTTTATCCATCTGTGCGCCATTTTGATTTGTTGCCCATGTCACAGCAGCAGCAGCGGCAGCAGCAGCTTCGTCTGTGCCCTGTCAGCCCCCTGTCGACGCGCTCTAAATGAGTACGTCGAACAACGGCTAGAAAAATGTTTTATTTGCCGTTTCGTTCATTTTACCCGCTTGTTTTCATTTGATATTTGCGCATTTCCGCATTGCCGACATGTCTGGCATTTCAAACGCACACACACACACACCCACACACAAAGCACAGCTTCAGTTCCATTTCCCGTTTTCCATCTCCATCTCCAGCTGCAATTGCTTTAGCTGTTTCGTCCACCCATTGCCATGCATCCGCACGCTCCTACGCTCCGTCACGACGGCAATGACTGCTACTTGCCGCATGCGGCATGCTGTTGACGTGGCACAAGGCACGCCCTGGGGTAATTAAAAGCGCTTGCAGTTGGCTGCTCCCTCAGTTTATTCATATTGTTTTTGCTGTTTGACTTGTTGTTCGAGTTGTTCATTCACCAGTTGTTGTTGTCCTTGTTCCAGTTGCTTCTGCATTTAGTATACCCTCGCAGTGGCAGTGGCAGTATTTTAGCTTGGCTGGGAAATGTGCAACGCTTTGATCAGGATGCATACTTTTTTTTTTTATCATGACAACGAACTTAGCAATATAGCTCTGCTTCTCCCATTCTGAGCAATTAGTTCTCAGAATCAGTCGGATAGATCAGAAATCATATTTTGCTGTCAAATAAACATATTTGTTTGAAAGCGTATTTAATTGTTGTCTAGCCAACGCGAATAGTTTTTCCTTCTTTTATTCCTGTCCGAAAAAAATGAACTCTGTAGTTTGGTTTTTGTTCTCTACATTTAAAGCTTTTATTTTTCGTACTCTATAAACAATCTAGTCTAAACACTTGCGCATGCACTTGACACATGCTCTAAACACATAGCGTATACGCTGCGTCAGCCAATAGCAATTTTGCACGCATCTAGTCCTGTGGCATTTGTGCGATGGCGGGTGCCCAAGACTCAGCTGGTCTGCTGGCAGCGCAAAGACGCTGAAAAGCAATAGTCATATAATATATAATATATATTAATAGAAATAGAATGGTGGACCTACCTCCCAGAAGCTGCCTTCCGTTTTGCGCTGCTTGTAGAATGCATACAAGGCCCAGCCGGGTAATTGCAACAGACCTAATCCAGCTAAGAAATAGCCAAAGACTGAAAGCGGAAGAGATTACGATTAATACTCTATATTGATGCATATATATATTCTTCTTTAGAAGCTATATGTCAAGTTTGGGGATACTAGCTCTTTTTATTTACCGCGCGGATTCTGTCGTTTTGGAACATGATATCTCCGCGCGGAGCTATTACCCGAGATAAGAGAAAAAAAAATCATCGATTTTCGACCAATATCATATCTCCGCGCGGAGTTATGTCGTTTTGGAACGTCATATCTACGCGGGGAGTTATGTCGTTTTGGAACATCATATCTCCGCGCGGAGCTATTACCCGAGATATTAAAAAAAAATCATCGAAAAAGTTTTTATTTTCGCACCAACCTCGATTTTGAAAAGAATCGTGATGATTTGGAAGGTCATATCTCCGCGGGAAGTTATGTCGTTTTGGAACGTCATATCTCCGCGGGGAGTTATGTCGTTTTGGAACGTCATATCTCCGCGGGGAGTTATGTCGTTTTGGAACGTCATATCTCCGCGCGGAGTTATGTCGTTTTTGAACGTCATATCTCCGCGCGGAGCTATATCGTTTTGGAACGTCATATCTCCACGCGGAGCTATGTCGTTTTGGAACGTCATATCTCCGCGGGGAGCTATGTCGTTTTGGAACGTCATATCTCCGCGGGGAGTTATGTCGCTTTGGAACGTCATATCTCCACGCGGAGCTATGTCGTTTTGGAACGTCATATCTCCCCGGGGAGTTATGTCGTTTTTGAACGTCATATCTCCCCGGGGAGTTATGTCGTTTTTGAACGTCATATCTCCGCGCGGAATTATGTCGTTTTTGAACGTCATATCTCCGCGGGGAGTTATGTCGTTTTGGAACGTCATATCTCCACGCGGAGCTATGTCGTTTTGGAACGTCATATCTCCGCGGGGAGTTATGTCGTTTTGGAACGTCATATCTCCACGCGGAGCTATGTCGTTTTGGAACGTCATATCTCCGCGGGGAGCTATGTCGTTTTGGAACGTCATATCTCCGCGGGGAGTTATGTCGTTTTGGAACGTCATATCTCCGCGGGGAGTTATGTCGTTTTGGAACGTCATATCTCCGCGGGGAGTTATGTCGTTTTGGAACGTCATATCTCCTCGGGGAGCTATGTCGTTTTGGAACGTCATATCTCCGCGCGGAGATATTACCCGAGATATAAGAAAAAAATACATCGAAAAAGTTTCGATTTTCGCACCGACCTCGATTGACCCCTTGCCATTTTGTCGATTTGGGTCAAAATTTTGAATTAAGCACTTATGATAAAAAAAGAAACTCAAATAGCATTACAGAGAAAAGTCGAAATAACCATGCTGTTTAAATGCGAAGCAGACGCGCATGAATGTGTGTTTGTACATGTATACAGAAATTCAAAAGATGCTGCTCTATATTATAGTATATTTTATTGTATCATAGAATATTCGTGTATACTGTAAAAGTCAATTGCATTTAAATTTTGGCTTAAATTGGTTGGCAACAAAAGTTGGGTTATTGACTTGATTTATAGGTCTAGGGTGGTAGCGGAGAGGTGGCGATAGGTATAAAATGAAAGATACTTGACAAATATATAATATTTTAGAAGCAACATATCATGTCTCGTGGCTTACCAAAATTGCCCAAAAAACAGGATATCGATATCGATTTTTATCGATTGCTTGGAAACGGAGTAAGTTATCGATTATCGGAAACAAACTCGAAATGCGCAGGCACTAGGAGCACCTACATCTAAAATTTCTATAGTCTATAGCTCTTATATGTTCTAAGATCCTTGTATTCATACATACGGACGGACGGACAGACAGACGGACATGGCTAGATCGACTCGGCTATTGATGCTGATCAAGAATATATATAATTTATGGGGTCGGAGGTGCTTCCTTCTGCCTGTTACATACATTTGGATTTTGCACAAATACAATATACCCTTATACCCATTTTTAATGGGTTCAGGGTATAAAAAGAACCGAAGTGATATGTAATGAATTCAAATTGCCTCACCATGCGCTATATGAGGATATGCAACGCCCTTGTACGTCAATTCGTTCATGTTGAGCAGCGTGTAGAGCAGGACAGCGGCCATCAGGCCAGGCGTAATGTAGGTCCAGCATAGACGCCAATACCAGCCCGTCTCAATGCCCATCATGAATTTGATATCAGCGCAGAAGCGACGTACGCCTGTCAAAACGAGAAGCAGTTAAAGGCAGTCAGAAGGAGAATCAGAAGAAAGACAAGGAGGAGGGTCGCAGCTAACAACCCACCATAGAACCAGGCCACGGCCAGCAGCTCGCCGATGGCGAGTATAAGCGCAGTGAAGGAAACGCCATAGAAATCGATCAGATTGACTATAAACTGCCCACCGGGTGTCACATACACGATGCTCACACCGAAGCCCAGCGCAGCCAGTGCGCCAGCGAGGGCCCAGCTGGGACCCGCCCGCTTGCCAAATTGGTCGCGGATGACGCGCAATATGCAGGAGCCCATGCCGACGGTGCTGCCAATGCCTAGGACAAAGAGCATGAGAAAGAAAAGGACCGCAAACATCTTTAGGTAGTTGAGCTTTAAAGCGCACATGGCGCGCCGTGTTCTCGATAGCTTACCTGTGGTACATATTCAAACTTGGCAATGGCCTCTGGATAGGAGATGAAGGCCAAACCAGTGCCGCCCTTCACCACGCTGCCAATGTCCGTAATGCCCGTCTGTTTGGCCAAATTACCCAAAATGCCAAAGGTAATGCAGCCGGCAATTATTGAGGAGCACGAGTCCATTGTGGTGATGATAACAATGTCGCTGTGAAGTGGTTGCAAATGTAGTTCCAACAGTTAACTGTGCCCGAGCACCACCTACTTGTACACATTCTTGTTGAAATTGTTGTAGGAGGCATAGGTTATCACGGTGCCAAAGCAAATGGCCAGCGAGAAGAACACCTGGGTAACAGCTGCATACCAAACGAGCGGATTGAGCAGCTCTCGCCATTGTGGCTTGAAGAAGTACACAATGCCATCCCAGGCGCCGGGCAGCGTCACGGCGCGCAGCAGCAGCAACAGCAGCACCACATACGGAAACACGCCCAAAAAGTAGGCGGCCTTGCCGCTGCTCTTAATGCCGCGTATCAGCACTCCGCCTATGATGAGCCAAGCCACGGCCAAACAGGCCACCAGCTGCCAATTCGGCAGACCCAGACCTTGGTCAATATTGGGCAGCTCATGGAGAATCTCACGCCTGTATTGGGATGAGCGTATAGACCACAATTGAATCCCATTAATATGGTTGTTATAATTGTCTAATGAAATGTGAAATTGTTGGGAAATCGTTCTGTCTTTCAAAATACATCTATCAAACAAAGCAATTACGAGCTGAACTATTCTCCAAACATACCCTCCAGATATGTTTACTCACTCAAAGTACAGCTGCGCGGGTGACATTTTACCAGTGGCATTTACCGAGCCACCATCGTAGCAATCGCTGCCCCAGCTCTCGCGGCAGCTGCTCCAGGGCAGCACCGCACTAAACGAAGCTAGCAGGAAACGCAGTGTTAATGCCATAATGCTCGAATAGTAGGTGATGGAGGCGCCTGTGGCCAGCACCTGTCCGGCAGCCACGCCCTTTAACAAGGGCGCCAAATCGAAGGCGCGCAACACGCCGCCGCCGCGAAACTGGCCCAGAGAGATCTCCAAATAGTAGACGGGTCGTCCAATTACGAGCAGTGCTATTAAGTAGGGTATCACAAAGGTGCCGCCGCCATTTTGAAAGGCGATATAGGGAAAGCGCCAGATATTGCCTAAGCCCACGGACAAGGAGATGCAGGAGAAGAGGAACTCCAAGCCATTGCCCCACTGTTCCGTTTGCTGTTGCGCCTTCTCCTTGTTATTGTCTAGCATTAACTGCGTTTGCTGCTGTGACATCTTTGACTGCTGCTCCCGTTGCTGGTTCTTTCACTAATTGTCTCTAGGTACTTGAACTGCACACTTTGAGGTCGCGTCGTCGACTGATTCCACTGACAATTGTCGCACACAGTCAATCCGACTTAACGCAACCGCTGAGATTTCTCTGGCAGATTTTAGTTACAAGTCGCATTGTGAAATTTGTTTTTCCGGCTTATCTGGTTCGTGGCGGTATACAGTTTATCTTTATCTATACGTCTATTTGTAGCATTTCGCTTAATTGGCACTAATAAAAGATGCTAAGTGAATTGCAGTGGGGCGCGGAGCGGAGCCTGAGGCAGGTGTCACAGCTCAGTAGCTGTACTGAAAGATGTGCAAATTGTTTGGAATCTTTCTATTAGAGTGCATGTGTTTATTGTCAGGCTTAAGTGTTGAAATTTAATACATCGGTGTGATGTACTCTGTAAACAGTTGTAAATCAATCATTAAGTCGCGTTAGATAACGTTTTTTATTGTTTCTTGACATTGGACATGTGAAAAGCTACTGATCTTTCAATGTTTAGTATGATGAGAGACATTTTATATGGAGCATATATGTTCGATTCTGAAAATTCTTAGAAATAATGAGATATCGTATGTGTCTGACAGCACCGCTTATAATAATATAGTGTACCTTTTGAATAATGCTGAAAATTCATCTGGCAACATTGGTAGAGAGAGCAGCTCTTTTGACTATCTTTCAAGTCGGAGTAGTTCATAGTCCAACTAGCTTTATGAGATTAATTTTAGTTTTATAATTATATATTTCGCAGATTCTCTAAGTGCAGCAAATAACCTGTACAAAGTTTTTAAGTATCTGGCAGCACTGGCAGCCAGGCAGAAGGCATCTCGTCTCGTTTTACAGCAGAAAGCAAAAGTTGGCAACTCTTTTGGCTGCCTGACAGCCGCGAAAGTTTTTAATCATTTTCAAGAGTTTTCTAATTAACATCCCCAGTGAAAGGCTGCCAACTTGCAGCTGCCGTTTTCCAGTTGCAACAAGCAAAAGGCAATGGAACGGAACGTTATAGAATGAAACGGAAAGATGGAATCAAAGTACTGGAGATGTTGAGCGTTCATTATGGTGACAGTTTTAAATGGGTTTTTAACAACTTTCTTCAGATTTATGAGAATAAAATTGCTTTGATAAAGCTGATTGCAGACGTTGACTGGAAATTGAGGGCAACGCAAAAGCCGTTCGCTAAATCCTGTTGGCTTTTTTCAGTGATTATTAACGCACATAAATTGCCATTAGCTGGAGCTCGAAACTAAGTTTTTCGGCGGATGGGGAGTTCATTAAAGTGCTGTGCATTAGACGTGGCAAATAGGGGGCAATGGCGGGGAATTGCTTCACTTTTAATTGCTGCCTGCAGGAGCTGCAACTTTACCGTGCCACAACACGCAGATTCCGCCAGCCAGCCAAACAATGTGCACAAAATGAGGCAAATAAATTTTGAAACTTTTGCCGTGGCATACGAAACGCTAATGGGGCGCATCTGAAGCACGTTCATATAACATATAAGTGTTACATGTGTGTGTGTGTGTGTGTAACAATCGATAACAGCAACAGTAACTTTAACTGTAACTGCCACAGCAACAATTGCAACAACAACAGCTACATTTGAAGGCACATTAACAACAACAAGGCCGCGAAGTATGCTAAAGTTATGTGTATATAACTTTTGAATGCCCTTCTTTTATAAAGTGAATACACATGCTAAAGCTAATTTTCATATAATAACTCTTATTTCAATTTGATGTGCACTATTCTACTATTGGCGAAGAAAAGAAAATTATGAAATATTTATTGCCATGTTGTATTGCTATGAAGGCTCTCAAACAGTGTTATACAATGTTTTTATTACCTTGAGCAATTCATCAATTTTCAATTTGCATTTTTGACTTATCAAGATTAAATGCTTAATCTTTTATTGATAACACTTTGCAGCACTGCTGCTGACGCTGTTAACACTGAAAACCTTGGCTTGATTTTCCCTTCCATTAATACTCAAGTTAAATTAAATGGAATATCCACACATTTGCATTCCCTCCTTCACTTCAAAATACCCCAAGCACACACAGCTTTTATACGGTATAGGGTATAATGAGTATTGCAATTAGTTTTGCTTTTGCCGTTGACGTTGTTGTTGTTGTTGCTGTTGTTTCTGTAACTTGTAACAAGTTTACCTTTAAAATTGATTTCAACGGACTTTGCAACAACTTCCGTTTCCGCTTGAGCTGCTCGTGTACTTATTAGTCAGCATTGTGTAAGTTGCTCAATGTGTGTGCTGTGTGTGCGTGTGTGTGTGTTTGTGTGCGAGTATGTGGCAACTTTTGCCATTTGCTACGTGTGTGTGTATCGGCCGGATGAAAAAAACGTGTCGAATTTTTACTTTGGCTGACAGCTTTTAACTACCTCGCTAAGAACTGACATTTCACATGAGGAAGCGACACCCCACACAGCCCCCTTCAGCCGCACACACTCGACGCACCAATTGTAAGGGCAAAATCATTGAGCGCACATTTAATTTGAAATTAATTTTTAATCAACTTCAATTGAATTAAACTGCATCGAGAGCTGCCAGCTAAAAAAAATATATATATATATATCTATATATGTATATATATCTTCCTGTATGTAATATACATGAAATGGGATTTTGTGTACATATTTTTCGGTGGTTGGACCACGCACCGAGCCCCGACACCCGGTTGCATTTGCGGTTTAGTTGTAATGCATGTGTTTGCATAAATAAATTAGTTGTATGCAATTTTAACTAGTAAATGCGTATTGTAAATTATAAATGATAGTTTTGTGCGGCACGTAGCAAGCGTCAAACTGCGTGCGGCACCTCTGTCCGTGGCTTTGTTTGCCACCAAAAATAAGGAAAGCGATGAAAAACTGTGGCACGAAATCGCTGCGCATTGTTGCCGCATCTTGTTGTTTGCTGCTGCACTCAGCATTTGTTTTGCGTGGCGTTGCGAGCTGCGCGTGCCTCAATTATGTGGCACCTTGCCCTTACCAGCAGCAGCAGCATTCAGGCGAATGCACCTGCCACACAAATAGCTGCTCGCAAGCGCCAAATGTCAAGGGAAGTGGCGCAAACGAAGACGAAGTCTTTAACCCAGTTTGGCATTGGCAACTTGCAACTAGCAACTTGCTACCTGCTACCTGCTACTTGCCACCCTTTTCTATCCAGCTTTCAGCCATTGTTGGCATTGTCGATTGCAGTTTGGTTGTTTGCCGCACGTAATTGTTGCCACTCTTTGTTGCAGCTACCCATTGTTGCCCTGTGCAGAAAAAGTTATTAAAATGAAAAGGCAAAAGCAAATCGATTATGCCGAGCTTAGCCTTAGCCTTTGCCATTGCCCAGGCCCAGCTAGCCTGGCCAGCCCCGCCAGCTCCGCTCCGAACAATACGAAAAAACTTTTGCGCTGAAACTTTATCCGGCCCAGCATGAAGAAGAAAAAAAAAAACTAAATAAAAATAAAAACTTTAAATTGACATCGAATGGCAATACTGCTACGCATGCCCCAACACCAACAGCACCAATGGCAGCACCACAAACAACAACAACAACATTCGCTTTTTGGCAACCACATTCGCACACACAACGACAAAGTAAAAAGTTTTGTGCGGCAGATTTTTTTTTTCTTGTGGGCACTCTAGAATTACCCCGAAAATGATAAGCCGTGGTTCTGCCTGAATACCCTGTAGGCGCAGTGATGCACATAAGGGGTATCTTCTTCTTTTATGTAAAAAAAAAATAATTTTGAGCGAATGCATGTGTCGGGCAGAACAAAGCATTTCCGAGCCCATAAAGTAGTACATATATAGATTACTTTAAATATGAAAATTTTATTCTTTCAAGGGAATTTTCATTGTATGCCGGATGAGAAGTTCGTTTTCATTTTTTTCCCTTTCAAATTCTCTAAAATTGCACAAAATTGTGAATGGTTTGGCGCTGACAACACGGCGTATGTGTAACGTAATTTCTTTTGTTTTCTTTTGCAGCTGCTGCATGTGGCATGTGGCAAGTACGCTGCTGCCCTGACAAGCATTTTGTGCTTTTAATGCGAATTCAACAACTGAGCTGCCAGCTGAAATATAAATTTGCTACGCAATTTGCATTTTTACACCTCAAAGTCTGGCTAGATTTAGCACAGCTATTTGGGCTGTGCTTGTGTGTGTATGTGTGTGTGTGTGCGTGTGAATGTATGTGTGATGTATGCGCTGAACAGTTTATGCATATATCAAACATTTGCTGTCTCCATTACTTACTTAGCACGTCTAATTTTTGGCCAAGTTTAAGTCAAGAACTTGAAGTCCTTGCGCCATTTCGTGTTTGTGTTGCAGCAGTTGGCAGTTGGCATGTGGCATGTGGCATGCGGCAGGTAATTTCAATTGCTTTTCAACTTAAAGTTTTTGTTTAATTTAATGTGACACTTTGTTTGCATTCTTTTGCACTGTTGCACCTACTGCCCGGCTCTGCCACAAGAACGTTGCCAGCAATTAAATATGAAAAGTAATTTTCATTGTTTGCTTGCCAAGTTTTATAGTTGAATGTAAAATGAAACGAAATAAAATACCCAACCTGCAAGTCACAATTGTCTGAACTGTTGGCAGCTTATTTGCTGCCTTATCAGCGGCAGCGACATTCCAAGACAATTTGAAGTTTCGCCCAAAAGGGCCAAAGCCAAAAGGCCAATTTGCATGCGAAGCAACAACAGCAGAGTCAGCCGAGTCAACATTTTGCGGCTAGCTGTGATTTGTTCAGCTAACGAATTTCGAATTCATTGAAACTGTCACAAGTCGCGGCTGTGGGTGGGGCTGGTGTCGGCGCTGAGGCCAATTCCACTTGCCGCACTGCTGTGGCTCAGAGTGCAACATTTGTTGCAATTTACTTGCAGCCAGCATTTGCATGCACAATGACAGTGCACCACAGCTGTCCATAAACTGCTCGAACTACAAAAACCCTTTCAAAGTCACAAGTGAGATGTGGGAGCTGGCTAACGACTGCGACAAGAATAACGACAAGAGCAACTTTTTATGTCCGAAGCAAGAGTTCTCTAGAGATTTGA